TCACTCCTTTTTAATGTTCTCTGGATAACCAATGTAGCTGTATGTCAATACATACCCCACTCTTGTCATTTCGAATACACTTGCGCTGCTATGAAAGTGGTTCACTCCTCTGTGATAAGATGAGGTAGAACTTTAGAAAACAAAGCGCCACAAGTTATAAGTAGGCTCTAAATGGACACGCAAAGAGGGTCAATGCTTACAAGGGGGCCAATTTGGCAGCATCAATACAGCTTCGCTGAAGTCAATGTTCCTGCTAAAGTGGGTGTCCGACCACAATGTGCAATAAATATGGGAATTAGGCATATAGGCACAGGACTAATGAGCAGATGAGGACTTGGATAATCTCAGCCAAACTTTTGCATCGTCTTATAATGCACATTGAACTCGGAGTAATTTTGTGCAGCGGCCCAAATTTGTTCATGTTAACTTGAGGCTACTCATTTGATTTGGCCAATTCGCTTAACCTGTTATAATATACAGTGGCATTTAATGCTTAGAATAAATCATGTTCCTCTAATTCTACCTCGACATGCTAGTAGGCATCTTGCTCATACAAATCGTGCTGTGTTATCATATGCGCCAGTTCTGTAGAAGCATGGCTACGCAGTTACCATATTCCGTCTAAGTTAACTTTAATAACCTACAACCAAACTTTTGGCAGGAAAGGTAAACCAGCGTGAGTGAACCTGACCGCTCGTCCTAGCTTTTGCACAGTGGTAGCAAGTCAGCACTCGAACACTCGTATATTAGGACGTACTAGACTTTATGCAGCTAGGTCACCTTATAAATGCCTGTTGAGGTAGATACTGCTTGCATTTTGCCAATTATACTAACGTTAGTTGTCATACCTGCAGTCCACAGTCGCGGTGTACGTATGTTGTGCAGTAAAATGCTGCCACATTGTGTATTTCACGAAGCGTGAAGTGTAGCTAGTCCAAGTGCCATCCTGGACCAACTCGAATGTGCTATTTTTGGACAACTGAGTCGCAGGTGGATTAATGGCATTGTGAGTCTGACATTTTGCGTTGCTATTTAGGCGGCATTAAATGATGAATGTTGCTGACTACCCTGCAGTAATCAGAGTAGTGCCACGTTGATTTTGCCATCACCACAGATGCATCGATCTAGAGTCGGTAAGTATTTTGCATTGGCGTAGGTCATAGACGCACACACAATAATTGGAGTTTTGCACTGTAACGTAGGGAGAGGACTTTATTAGAGATAGTTTGTAGTTTAATAGCAAAATTTGATCAGGTTGCCTGCAACTTTTACAAATAGCGTTTTTACTTCCTTTTCTCGAACCCTTAGGCACTCTGAAGCGGTCTTGCTGAGTCTTTCTAGATTTGTCGGCGGTGGGTTGGATACACTTTCGAGTGTTGCATTACCAATCTATACCTCAGCACTCTAGCCCATGAATGTGAATGCAAAGGCTACATTCTGGACGTGCATTTCTGGTTGACAGTATTGATTCCATTGATTCCAAAGTCTTATCTATTGGTTACTCTAATGGGGATCATGGTAGCGTTGGTGTTGATACAAGCAAATGCTAGTTCATAACAGTGACAAGGAGCTCTGCACCCTATCTGCAAGTCTTTCTAAGCACGTTGACAGTGAGATTACATTAATACTAGT